GAGCCTTTCTACCCTCCAGCACATCGACATTTTGCTAACTTTTATGAGGTTGGTGGCAAACTGAGAAGTTGAGTCAGACTGACACTAGACTCTTGTCCTGGAGATGCTTCCATGTGAAGTATCTTGGCCCTTTTTCTGGAGTATGAACTTGAGTATGCAAAGATATCTCTCACTGACCTGGAAGGATGGGCGCTTGTGCAATTTTGTTTCTTCTTCTGTCGGTATGACAGCTATGACAAAGCTGACAGCAAATGAAAGATGATTAGGCTTTGTTTCAGCCAGCAGTGTAAAGGTGGAAGAAATAGACTATTTCACTTATCTATTCCTGGACCTTAAACGTTGAGCTTTTCTGATGTAGAATTCACAATTTTATATTTTCTGTAGGAAAAGGTGGCAAAATGTCTACAGTTGATAAAAAGAATGTGAAGAAATCTGTGGTGTCAAAGCCAAACACAATTAAGTCTATGTTTATAGCCAGCGCTGGGAAGAAAACCACTGACGTAAGTTCTTAGACTTTTGAATTTAAAGATTTCTAACAGGTTTGCAGTGTTTTATTGGGAGTGGAATAAAGCAAGGGCTCATTTCAGTTTCTTATATCTAGCAAGACATAAACTCCTATTACAATTTCTTGTGTAGGGAGCATTCCTGTGTGTTTTATAGAAACCCTGTAGTCATTTATTGCTAGTCTCCTGATTGAGTTTACACATGTAACTAAGAACTGCTTGGGTATTCTGTTATCTTGCAGAAAACTGTGGACCTATCAAAGGATGATTTATTAGGGGATATTCTTCAAGATCTTAACGCTGAAGTAAGTGTATCAATAATACCTGCTTGAAACACTGTAGTGCATTAATTTTTCTTACTGTGGAGGATATCAAGAAAATAAAACTCTTCCTAGAACTAGACCGTCTTAAGATCAACTTCGTCCTTAGCACATCTGCTTGGTATGTTCCACGTACGTATGCAGTGTACTCGTTGTCTCCACTGTGCAGGACTTGCATCACTGTATATGTTTGATAAGCCAAAACTACTACGTTCTGATTAGAGATGGTTTATGTTAATGTGACGTAGAGCCTGTACTAGTGTAGGCTTCTGGGTTTCAGTCAGCTTGGAGTGAAACAGGATTTACCTGCATCTGAATTGTGTGTACTGTATGTGTGTATTGCCAGGCTCCAGCCAGTGTGTTGTGGGATATTTCCATGTGGCGTGTTTGGATTTGCGAGAGGAGCTGTGAGAGGACTATTTCAGCAGATGCCACAGCCTGAGCTTCTGTCTGTCTCCTCCTGCTTTCTGCAGTTTGCTCCAGATAACCCAATTAACACTTCCTCTGAGTTAGGAGTGCGGGAGTGGCTGCTGTAGCCGGGTTGAACTGTCGCATATGAGGGCATTCTTCAGCACTAATGACTTTTCAATGAGTTAATGCCTTTTATCAGGATTTCTTAAGACTGAAAAGATTGCTCACGTGTGAACTGTGAAACTGCTGTGATGGAGAGATGCTGAGTTGATATGTGTTATATCATAATAAACATAATGTTTTTTTTCAGAGCAATGAGGGCTATAGGTGTTCGAATGTAAAGTTGTTCTCCTGGGTTTGTGTGCTTTCTAGTTTACTCCTCCCTATATCTGATTGAGAGTTATAGTGTCTTAGGCTATGAAAAACCCTCAGATCATTAAGCAGATCCCTTTTAATGCGGTTGTTTTGTGGAGCATTTGTTAGGGGAAATAATGCTGTTAATTACACTATCTTCCATTTAGTTAGTTAGCTGTTATTTTTTTGACTTTGTTAGTTCTCTAAAATTTCTTTTGTCAGCTGTTGATAAGGTTGAGTACAAAATATCTGTGCATGTAAATAAATTGAAATGGGTTTTCCTCTGCTGTGACAGTGCTGAAAGAGCACTTCTACCTTTCTTAAGGCATGTGTGTTTACTACTCCTGTCTCAGCAGACATGAACATCCTGCCAGTTGTTTTGATAAGTGTGCATTAAAGGCACAGTTAGCTATTGAAAGGCCCTCTGCTTGAAAACTGTTTCACTTAATGAGTTTTTCTCTCAAACAGTTCACAAAAAAAGTCTAGTGTCTGTCTTCATGGGCTGATTTCTTGCTTAACTTTTTCTTCGTATGTGACTGAGTTATATATCAGGAGGTTTGTTTTCTTGGCAAATAAGAAATACTGGAGGCTTTCTCTCTTCTACTAACCAAGGCAAGAGTAAACGCTAAACAACAGTTTTTCTTTCGATGTTCAGACTGTTCAGGTTACTCCACCACCAATTGTAACGCTGAAAAGGAAAAAGTCTTCTGGAGTACCACTGAATCCTTTCTCTGTGCAGTCCCAAACTCCTAAGGTAAAGAAAGAAATGAGAAAAGTTCTCATTAATAAGTATTAATCTGTATTTTGGTTGATCTGAATGCTGTTGTCTTTTATTTCTGCTTCCGGAAATTAGTTTTCTCATTGGCAATGTTACTGTGTAACTTTATGCACTTTTTTTTTTGTCTTGCCCTCCCATGTTAATACAGAAACAGGACACATTTCTTTCTGTGTCTTTAGTATAGTAGCAGTGTATAGCAGTTATATTTGGCAGGTGAAACTATTTTTGTAGTGTTTGGTGCATCAAATGAAGGTGAGCTGCTGATTTGTCCGTTTTTTCCAAAGAGCAGAAAGGCCCTTATGGCAAGGAAGGATGATTGGAAGTGAAATAAGCAGAATAAAGTATTTGGGGTGGGGAAAAGGCTAAAAAACTCATCTTCTGCAGAAATGGAAAGCAAATGGAAAATTGAAGCTATGGATAGAAGTTTAACCTAGTGGAAGATTTTGGAATCAAAAGAGGCACAAGCTGCTAAGGATGAAAGGCTGGCAAACTCTTAAGAGTTCTGGTAAATGAGAAGGATTTTGTAGCTGGAAATGCAGTGGGATACTTGATAAGAGTCAGTAAGGACAAGTTAAGTAAAGTTAGGTAAATCTAACTTGTGAAACCTTGTATAACAGTGACATCAGCTCTTAGGTTGAAAATAATGACCAGTGCCACTCATGTGAAAGGTTGTGTTGGAGCATGGAAATAATTAAAAAAGAAAAAATGGGGATACAGTAAGAGAGGATCTTTGTCTTTTGGTGCAAGGCCGTGGTCATTTTTAGTAGGAAACATCGAGAAGGGAATTAATTCCCAGACAGGCTGTTGAGATGGTAGCTTCTGTGGTTGTGGGAGGATGAACTGGCAATTTTAGACAATGAAACAGATGTAGAGGTTGAAGAGTGCAGCTTTGGAAAATAAATGGACATAAAAAGCAAGATGGCAGCGATGCTTTCTAATTCAGGAGACAAGCAGCAATATAAGTATGAATAAATTCATTTAGCTGATGTACCAAAACATGTTAGTGAAAGTTGATTAAATAATGTTTTCTTTCTGTTTAAGGTGAGTGAAGGTCTGAGCTTGGTGTTGGCTGTAGCTGTACTGAGATTAAAACCCTAGAAATGATTGTGTGCAACTCTACATTCTCTGTAAATAACAGCTTTCCTTGAAGAGTAAGGGTTTGGACCTTGCCACAGGTTAAGGGGCCAGTACATGCAGAGACATGTTGTTAGTCTCTGTTGGTCTCCACCTGTTGGTGGAGGCCACTTCATACACGTCCCGTAAGAAGAGCTTCTGTAGCAGCTGTCACAGTAGTATTCTGTCTGAAAAACAAACTATGTGCTCATTGTCTCGGAGCATGCCAAAATGTTTCTTTGTTTTCCTTACTGTCCTTGCCTGTAGCATGAAATCCAAGGGAGAAGCACTCTTCTCTAGACCCATAATGTCCTGTAGACGTCTTGAACTCGTTACTGGTAGGAACAGGTGTAAACTACCGTACTGGCCTTCCCCAGTTGTTCCAGGCTCTGTTCCTGCCTGACATATATTGTCACATACTTGGTTGACATCAGTGGTTTTATTTTGTCAATGGAGTAGTGCTACGTGGGGAAAAATAGTGAAGGTAACCACAAACTTAATTAAATGGCCTGTTGTAAACTGCTTTTACCTATTACAGTAGAAACACGTAATGGCAGAAATGATAGTATAGAATTGAAAGTTTACTTTTGAGGAGTTTTAGCTATCATACTGCAAAATATGTGGAGCTTTTCCTCTAGCCCTGTTTGCTAGTTCTCCAGATAGCGAGTGCTAGATTTTTTTTCCCCTTTTTTTTTGCTCTTAAGAGAATTTTTTAAACTCATGGCTAAAATGTCTTTCAGGTAATCACCTCTACATCAAAGAGAGCTCCTTCTCATACCAGAAAGGAATCTCTTCCTCCATCTTCATTTCAGCCTAAACATCCCAATTACACAGCAAAATCTGTCATAGTCTCTGAAAATGGGGATACCAAGTATATGCAAAAAGCTACTAAGAATGATGCAACAGTGAAGACAATAGAAGAGAAGGCTATTGAAGGTATCAAAAAGAAATCAATATCCAGTTGCAGAAGCTCTTTAGATATGGCATATTAGTGTTAAAATACTTTTTGCTTAAATGTGGTATTTCTGTTGTGTATTAATACTGCATATAGAATCACAGAATGTTCAGGGTTTGAAGGGACCTCTAGGGATCATCTAGTCCAACCCCCCTGCCAGAGCGGGATCACCCAGGGCAGCCACACAGGAACGCATCCAGGCAGGTTTTGGAAGCCTCCAGAGAAGGAGACTCCACAACCTCTCTGGGCAGCCTGTTCCAGTGCTCTGTCACCCTCACAGTAAAGAAATTTCTCCTCATATTGAGGTGGAACTTCCTGCATTCTAACTTAAAGCCATTATTTCTTCTGCTATTGTTGTCTGTGCATAGTGCTGTAGTATAATGACTCAAGCCTTTAGTTCTATGTGCAACACTTCCAGATGATGATCAGGGAATGATGGATTTTGCTGAGGAGGACTTTGATGAACCTATGGAAGCCGAGCATGTGGAAACTATACCTGAGACAGCTGAAAGCATGAAGAGAGACAAGGAAATTGAAAAGAAAGAGAGAGAACAGCTGGAATTGGACAAAAAAGAAACATCTGTTTTGTGAGAATCCCTTTTTATTTCTTTTTCCACTAAGAAGCCTTTCAATATCTGTGAACTTTAGATTTATCTTCGTATTTGTCTCTGCCAATGGGATACTTGTGATAACAGGCAGAATCATGGTAATGCTGTGTGGTTTTTTGTAAGTGCCGTTAGAAGCGGTAATGTTGAACATGCTCATAGCTTCTTAACTGAAAAGTACTTAGTAGTTTTGGAATTTAGCACATGTCAACATAACACATATTTCTGTACATTGAGGTGACTCAGTGTGCGTATTGAACAACAAACTTTGCCAATAAGCAAAAATGGAGAATTGCTAATGATGCTTATTCTAAGCAACTGTGAAGGAGTTTCATAACTTTAGTTTTAGTTAAAGGTGTTGTCCCTGAAAGTAATTTCACATGGTGAAGAGTTGTGCCTCTGGAAATAAGAAAAGGTTGTTTTTCCCTGGGTTGCTTTTTTATTATTATTTGGAAGAATCTTGACTTGTACATTTATGTATCTTTAAACTGTAAAATATTGAAATGATCTAAAAGACTTTTAACGTTTAATAAAGGAGAATTTGATTTTGTTGAAATAATCTATTGTCCCCACTGAGCAACCTGTAAAGATGGATGGATGTATTTGTTATGTAAAGACTTGAATGACCAAGGCCTGTGTATTCTGTACTGAGAACCATAGTTTTTATCTTTGTCACTCCATCCTTCTTTTCAGAAGTCTGAGAAAACCCAGCAGTTGGGAATGTTGCTTGGTAGTGGCAAGAGCAGCAAAAATGTCAGAATATAGGTATGAAAAAAAGCAAAACAGTGGTGGTTATAGCAAAGACACAATTTTACTTGTTTCTTTTTTCTTCTGCAAAACCTGCAGAAGTTGTTCTCTCCCAGGTGTCTCATGTTGGGACAGAATTGATGAGGATGAAGCTGATCTAGTAGCGGCAGAAGTTCAGCTGGACCCCAATCTCCTTCCACTTGTCAATGGAGAAAATGATGATCAAGTCTTAAGATTTTATTGGTTGGATGCTTATGAAGATCAGTTCAGTCAGCCAGGTAACTGTTCCGTTACCAGCAGAAAATGCCATTCTGATTCTTTTTATGTAACTGAGATTTTTCGGACTTGCCTAAATTATGTCTAGACACCCTGTCCCTCTGTGCTGTGTAACTTGTCTGTTCATCTCATATTTTTCTATGTCTGCCATCAATGCAGGGCACTACGACTGCGAAAAGTCAGAATGTCATGTCTTGGTCTAGTGTAGGAGTAGGTACAAAAGTTGCTGCTATAGCGCTTCTCAGTTGGTGACCTGTTAGCTGCCTTAAAATCCTATATGCTCCAGGAATAAGCTGATGATGATTTCTTACTCAGTGATGCAATAATTGAGCATGCTTTCTTCTTATTTTTGGAAACGTAACGTAAAATTCTGGTGGTTTATTAGAAAACCTGTATAAGAGCAGTTGCATAGTATTTTATGAAGGAAAGGTATATCTGTCAAGGGAGGAAGGTGACCTGAAAAATATAAACTCTGCCTAGATTCCTGTGTTCAAATTGTGTAAATCTTGAAGATTGTCTTTAGATTAACATCCCTAAAATACTTTGTGCAGTTGAAGTGTGAATCCTAGCTCTCATCATCTTCAAAATTGTGGCATTCTGATCTCAGCCCTGACAAAAAACGTCCCGCTCACATCTGTTCTAGGCACTTCCCATTCATCCTCTCATTTTGTCAGCAGCTTTAGAATCTTGGGTTTCTAATTTGTGCTTCATGTAGGTTTACCGGAAGGTTCTTCCATTTGTTGGTGAAGATTTTTTGGGTTGATGCTGTAAGCATTGAGTTAGATACGTTTCTTTGCTACACCTTTTGTTGTGAGCCGGGATGCCAGATTAAATATGAGACTGTGCTGGGCTGAACAGCTTGATGATGGGAGTGGTAGTAATCACAGATATCGTGATGAAATCAATGGCTTTAATATAAAATTGCTACTTTTAAAGACCCCACTATTGTTCTTTTTCCTTTTTTTTTTCCCTTCTAAGTCAGTGGTTGCTGAATGGAGCATAATTATGAAAGGATTTCTGTTCTTTGCATGCAAGAAGTGTTCTTTTCTCATTATGACTTTTTCAGGATTGAATAATAAAGACTGCACCTGTTTTCAATTAGTAGTGTAGAAGGGAAAATTCTGATACTGCTTTTTGTTTAACATGTTCATGATCTTTGTTTATGCCTCATTTGCTGTGATGTCAAATGCATTGCCTGAAGAGTAAATACTATAGCATAATCATAAGACTCTTTCAAACCTAATGATTTTTTGGAAGCTTACTTTTCATAACTCCCTTTACTATCTTAGGCAGAGAACTTGAGAATTGTAATCCTATTAACATTTTAAAGAAATAATGAAATAATGAATAAAACCTGCTCTTTTTCTTCTGCAAGACTTTTTCCCTGTCCCTTCAATTTGCTTGGCCTTTGGTTCATTGGTAACATGATGTTTCTTTTCACAGACTTAGTGTTTTATAGATTTTACTCCCATTTTTTTCTTTCTTCTTTTCATAACCAGGCTTACAGAGTGTAGGGCTTAATATTTCTTCTCTCATTTATTGGTTTTACATACAAAATGTTTCTGAAAACTCTTTGAAGTTAGCCCTGCTTTCATAGAATCACAGAATATTCAAGGTTGGAAGGGACCTCTAGGGATCATCTAGTCCAACCCCCCTGACAGAGCAGGATCCCCTAGGGCAGCCACACAGGAACGCATCCAGGCAGGTTTTGAAAGTCTCCAGAGAAGGAGTCTCCACAACCTCTCTGGGCAGCCTGTGCCAGGGCTCTGTCACCCTCACAGTAAAGAAATTCCTCCTCGTGTTGAGGTGGAATTTCCTATGTTCTAACTTAAACCCGTTATTTCTTGTTCTATTACTTGGCACCGCTGAGAAGAGATTGTCCCCTTCCCCTTGACACCCACCCCTCAGATATTTGTATATGTTAATAAGGTCCCCTCTCAGCCGTCTCCTTTCAAGGCTAAACAGCCCCAGTTCTCTCAGTCTCTCTTCACAGGAGAGATGTTCAAGTCCCTTAATCATCCTCGTAGCTCTCCGCTGGACTCTCTCCAGTAGGTCCCTGTCTCTCTTGAATTGAGGAGCCCAAAACTGAACACAATTATTCCAGGTGCAGTCTCCCCAGAGTAGAGGGGGAGGAGAACCTCCCTGGACCTGCTGGACACACTTTTCTTAATGCACCCCAGGACCCCATTGGCCCTCTTGGCCGCAAGGGCACATTGCTGTCCCATGGACAACTGACTGTCCTCTAGGACTCTTATTGCATGGGTGGATGGGTGATGATGGTGTACAGGATGTTCGACTAGGAGACCTCGAAAGGTTCCTTCCATCCTAAATTACTCTGATTCTGTGAAATCTGACGATTAACACCACTTATTAGTCCGTGCTAGAGTTGATTGAGGATTATCTCTGCAATCCAGGCAGCCTTTTACCCTGTATTTGAGTGGCTCATGTATCCTTTTTTCTATCTCACCTGCTTATATATACACCTCTGACAGGTTAACTTCTCCATGTTCTTAGTATTGCCAGCTGTTAAAGCAACCAGCTACTGTTTTGTAGTCTCTCCCATAGTTTCATCTTTTTTTATGATACAAATCTATCTGAGCTTTTTACCCCTTTAAAGAAAAAAAAAAAGAGACATTGCTGGGGACAAGTACTTAATCTTCCTTGTCACTTAGATCTGTAATTTGAGCTCTTTCTAGATCCTTTTATTCAAACTGTCTAAATCTTGAAGATTGCCTCCATATTAAAATCTCTAAGACACTTTGTGCAGCTGAAGCTTGTATCCTCGCTCTCATCATCTTCAAAACCGTAGCATTCTCTGTCCTTGACAAAAGTAGTTTTGTTCACATCTATTCCAAGCACTCAGGAAATGATTTTTCTTAGCCTGTCACTCTAACTCTGTCATCCATCTTAGTGCATCTTCAGTGATTTATCTTTGATCTAATGGACTAAGGAAGGTGCCTTTACATCTGATAGATTGCGTGGCAAAGAAAAATTATAACTCTTAACCAGGGACTTGTTTGCGCGTTGTCAGACCAAGCAGAAATGCAGGTTCCAGACTCTTCATGTGAAACACTATTTCTGAGCCAGTCTCAGCTCTGATATTTTGGATTTCATCAATAGAAGACTGTCTTCCATATAATCATATTCCAAATTATTTGGAGCTTGAAGGGAACTCAGGTGAAGCCAGGTTTTTGAGCTGGAAGTTTATTTTACTTGTAATTCACAAACCGTATGTGAAAGTCAGTTGGCTTTGTTCTGCATTATTTCGAACTTCAACATCACTTGATTAGCAACTTGCAGCCGTTTCGTGCTAATGCAAATTCTCTGTGCCTCAGAAGTGTGCGTGACATGCTAAAGATGTGGTCCACAGAGAAGTCAGTTGCACTAGGCCTGCTCTGTATTGACTTTCTGAATAGTCTGCCTTGGTTACAACTGCTGTCTTAGCATCTGGGATTTCTTGCGATATTGTACCTTTTTTGGTGTCCTCATTTGTGAAAAATAGTTAATTGAAAACTTTTTTTACACTTGATCAGCTTCTCCTTGTCTTCAGAATGCACTTCTACAGGTTTTATTAGTAGTAGAGTCTTGATCTCAATATACTAAAATGTAGGAAAAATGATTTAGTTGTACTGATGTAGCTGAAGAATGAAAAATTGCAGGTAACACGTTTCAGGAGTGATTGACAGCCCAGGCATTCTAATTATCTTCGTCTTTCACTGACTTCTCTCACCTTCCTCTCTCCATGAATTATCAAGCTAATGTAGGTAGAAATGGAGTATCAGAACAGATTTCTGAGACTAACTATGTGATGCCATTTTGAATTACAAGTATCAAGGTGTTACTATAGTGATGGAGGTAGGGGCATGAAGAACTATATAGTCATTTATTTGTAAAGCTGCTGTTTAAAGCAATTTAGAATGTTCTGATACATCAGAAAGATTTGTTGTTCAGGGGCCTAAACCAGAAATGGTTGTTTTCGTGTGCAAGAATACTTAATAAGCTGCCTTAGGCAGCATTGAGCATGATTGATTTAAGAATTGCATACTGAATTCTTTGCCCTTCTTCCTTAGGTGTGGTGTTCTTGTTTGGCAAAGTTTGGATTGAATCTGCAAACACCTATGTCAGCTGTTGTGTGACAGTGAAAAATATTGAGAGAACTGTTTATTTACTGCCACGTGAAACAGTAAGTATATCTTTTAAGCATGTCAGACATAAGTACCTTTCACTCTGTTTATGGCAGCTTATGAGTTGTAGTAGTGGGTTTGTGGGAACTGTTGAAGCCAGTGTCATCTGATGTAGGTGGTAAAGTTAAGTACAATGTATACACGGTGCATCCCATTTGAGATTCAGAGTAGAGCGTTGCTGCTTCCCCCTGACCCTAGATAACAACTGCAGACAGATTGTTTCCTTTAGACTTGCTGCTTAGGAAATAAAGTTGTTTTGAAGTATTATTAGAAAACTTAATGCTTTAAACACCATTTCAAATAATATTTTTGTAAATTCGGGCTGCCTTGGCTGATTGCTTTGTCTGCTGGCACTTTTTGTTAGTTTGTAAATCTTGACTTCTGTTTTTTGAGGAAATCGACCTACCCACTGGCAAAGAGACGGAGACTCCAGTAACTATAATGAGTGTTTTCAAGGAATTTAATGACTGCATTTCACCAAAGTATAAGATCATGAAGTTCAAATCCAAGGTTTGGCTACAAGCATCTTCTTTGGTCATTTTCTATTTTTCTTGTTTGTAAGGTGGGAAGTCTGTTGAAAACACTGTCTAGTGGGGGAAGTGGACATATGCTGAAATGCAGATATGTAACTCCTGACATGTGAAGTGTACCTGCTTGTAAAAGCCATCCCAATGTCTTCCCAAATATCCATACTCCTTTAAGAACAGTTAATCTGCAACATGATTGTTACACCAGAAGTTTAAAGATACTGCTTTTGAAAATACGCATTCATTTGCTTTTTTAAAACTAGGTTTCTTTCTTGCTTGTTGAGCTATTTTGGGGAATACAGGACAAACAGAAGTTCTGATACCTAAAGCCTGGATATAAGCTCGTGGTGTCAAACTTTAAAATAAAGGATTGTGTTGAACAGCAAATAGATCAGTACACTGGGGTTAGACCGTCTTTGCGTGGTTACCAGGTGTCATGTTGGACTTCATTTCTTGGCCTGTCTCATCCTTCTTGCCCTTGCAGATTTGTATTTTTTCAGAATTTGTGCTGTTCAAAGCATGAATTGTCATAGTGTGTTTATACAGGAGTTAACCAGTTGTGAGGACTGTCATCTAGTCTTGAAACTTGACATATTTTGGGCTTATCAGTTATGGGTGTCTTAGAGTGTTATTTTACTGCGTTCCGTTTGCTCAACAAATCCTTAAAAGAGCACTGGAGAAAAAAAGATGTTGCTGTAATAGAGAATTTGCAGGTAGAGTAATACGGTCTTGTCAAAGTCTGCTGAAAAGAGCTGATACGGCTGATAGTGTTGCAGATTTGAGCTGAACCAGTTTGCTAGCGTGGGGAAGCTTTCTTCTTCATTTGCCTAGATAATTTGTCTTTTGGCAGGGAGGGGCAGAGGTGGGGAGTTTTTGTTGGGAAGCGTGGCTAAATATGCATGTTAGCGCAGAAGATTTGTTCAGAGTGAAGCGTTCCAAAAGTTTTCTGTTCCATGAAGGAGTGTGTCATTAGCCTGACAAAGCTGGCTTTTGTTGTAATTGCTGGGTGGTATGGAATTGGTTGTAACTTTTCCCAGGCTGGCTATCTTGTGACTTTGTAGGATTCATTCCTACAAATGATCAGGAAATGGGATGGCAAGTAAAAATTCAGGAGGAATGGAATTTAATGATTTGTAAATGAGGGAAAATAAAAACAAGTTCATATAGTGATTCAGGTTGGAAAGACCCTCAGAAGGTCATCTAATCCAGAACTAGAGTACTTCTGAAAGTTTAAGTTGCTGAAGTGAAAATGTGAGCAGTGTTTCTCAAATGGCAAATTCGTGCAAGACTTGAAATCTTTCCATTGATGTATAGCTTGGTGCATTATTTACATCATTCAGGGAAAATACCTTCCATTAGTGCTTTATAAAACTTTTTTTTTGTTCTAGCTAATTTTCTTTCTCAAAACTGATGCAAATTTAGCTTTTTCAGTTTTCTCAATGTTATTTCTCTTGTATATTTGATTATAACTTTGTTACCTGTAGGGATCAGAAAGGAATGAATTTAACAGTAGGTAAAATCTAAGTTTGTAATAGCTCCACTGTTCAAAGACCGTTTCATGAATGAGGGAGGAAACTCAAGGTAAATCAGTTCTTTATTAGAAGAGAGGGCCTTTGAAAAGACTCAGTATTGGCTCGTAGAATCTTTAGAAACCTCTACCTGTTCCATGTGTGCTAAGGAAGAATAGTTCAAGTGAGCTAATGGAGTAATCACGTTTAACCTTCAAAGATGGCTTTTAAAAATCAAGGTAAGTGATATGCAGGGAGTATTTGAACTGTTATTTCTGGTGTTAGTTCAAAGCTTATGGAATTTTTACTGAGTTTACACCCAACTGTGTTGTCCATACACATGACTACAGTGCATCTGGCATCCTTGAGTGTACCGCAGGAGTGGTTCCTAGCGGGAATAGGGAAGTAGCAGCATTAAGGCATTGTTCAGATCTTACCTAGAATATTGTAAAACTTGATCGCCTTGATGTGCAAGGATTAACTTAGTGATGATGGGCACAAGATGGTAATTAGAAGGATAAGACAAAAAGAGAATTGGTTATACCGAAGATAAGTATGAAAGAGCTTTAGTTTCTTTTTTAGCCTAGTAAAGTGGAGAATAATGATAAGACCTTTTTGCTCTCTAAAAACATGAAAAGGGGATGAGCAGCAAGAAAGCTATTTAAGGGACGATTTTAGCGAGAGAACAAATATAAAAATTTTAATTCATGAGTAAATTAGGCAGGATAGTTGGGAGTGCAGAGAAGCTTTGAAATAACCTATGAGAATTGTTTCTGAACAGTGAGAATTCAGATTATTTTTGTATTTGTCATACTCTTCAATGAACTAAATTTTGCTAACATGATAAAAGGCTATCCAGTTTTATTTTACTGGAATAATTTTGATAGTTACTGCCTCCTGGAAGGATTGGACCTAGCAGGATGGTGTCTAACTAGTAATGTTGGGGATGAGAGAAAATGTAGGATTGGAGGTCAAGGCTGTTGGTAGAGCCTTTGGAGGAAAGTATTACAGTAACTCAGATATTTCAGCTTAACACAGAATTGATGGTGAAGAAGTGGCACCAAATCTGGTCAGGCTTACATGTCTGCAGCAGGGGGTCCTTTTGCTGCCTGCAAGATGATTGAGGAAGCAGTAGAGTTGTCCTGTTACTCCGCCCTCTTTTTATTTTGTTCCTCTCTGAGAGACCTCAGTTTGCCTAGTTATATGCCTTACTAATCTGTTTTTCAAGAGGAGTCATCATCTTTTTCACTGCAGCCCTGCCACCGGAGGTGATGTGTTGTTACACAGCCTTTGCTTCTGGGTTTCCATATGGCTGCACAGGGCTCTTGCATGGAAATGGTGGTGGCACTCAGATGAGTGAACCCTTCACAAAAATGATCTCCGCAAAGTTGTCACTGTGATTAAGAGCTCACTTAACCTTTAGAAGAAATCCCCTGTTCTGTGATGGGCAGCCCATGTCCCACTACTGTGTTGTTAAGGACCGGTGTTCTGAAAGAGTTTTGAAAGGGTAATGACAGTATTGTCCAGGTGAGCAGAGCGCTCGTGGGTGATGCATTCATGAAGTCTCAGTTTTGGCATAGTATTGTGAAACCAAGATCTCGTTCTTCCATCATTAGCTGAAAATCGGAAAGGTTACTGGCATACCCGCCATGCACCCAGAGTTCTTTTACTCGGAATACCCAGTTTTGTGATGATGCAGAGAGCCAATATTTAGGCTCTGATAAAAGTTGTTCTCTGCGCGTGTGCATCTTGGCCTTGCCAGCACCAAACTTCGTCCCTGTGAGCAGATACACTTCAGCCGGATCATTTCCTCCTGCACCTGCTGCTAATTGCAGCTTCAGTGGGTTGCACTGCTGCCAAGTTAGCAAGTCTTCACAAATCAATTTGAAAGCAGCCTTTACTCCACTTAGGAACTTAGCAGCTAATCACTGCTGCTCATTTCTGCTCTCTGAAGGGCCACTTGAAGGGCAGATTACTCTGCAGCAAAGCATTCATTCAGTGCAGTTATGACCAGACGCTTGTGTAATTGAGCTGAGCTCTGTGGAATAAGGCAGATGAATCACTGCAGCAAACTATTTTTACACTATGTTCAGCTTGCGTTTGCAACAAGGACTTGTTTAAAGCCTGAGAGGGTTTTTTTTTTAAATTAAAAAAAAAGAAGAAAAAAGAAGGGGGGCACCAGTAACGTGCTAAAAGCAGTGCATTGCCATGTGCTGCTCGTATGAGGTGCTGCTTTGGCTCAGGAGTTCAAGTCTACATTTGCATGCTAATTTGCAATGCTGTTCTGACTTCTTAGTGGTGCTCTTGTACCGAGTTATATTACTCGTTTCTGCTTCCATGTAGCTGTTGATGCCATAGTTGTTTCTGCATTTGCCTTCTTCCTATTCATAGCAGAGGGCCCTTTCCACAAGCTTTGCAGCCTGAAAAAAATGCGGTGTTACAAGATGTAGCGAAATTAACTGCTCCTTGCAGTGATCTGACGGAGCTATGACTGATGCTATTAATTTAAGGGAAAAAACCCAACCACAAAACTAAATAACTTGCAGTTTATCTAACTGTGTATGTGTTTTGTCTGTTTGTAAATTTTATTCCAATTTACGGTGACTTTGTTTTTTCTTGTTAAATTTACTCTAGTGATAAATTTTGCTCTCGGTATGAATAATGTGCTAAACTTAGTGCACTATCCAGTGAAAATACACTTTTTGATTTAAGGAGCCTCTAGGAGTTTTATATTAAGAGTAATGTTCTGGCATAGTTATGACATAACATAATAACAATAATTTATAACAGTGGTGCAGATGGTTTCTGAAGTATTACTAGGCAGACCATACGTATTACAGGGTAGAGCATGGCATTTAAGCAGGTACATAGCATTGCTGCACAGGATATGGTAATTATCTGGAAAATGAAGGTAGTTATTCTTAGAAACTGCAAGCTGTGCATGTTGTAGAAAATCATTGTTCTTGAAGAAAGCAGAAGTGATACTTTCAGTAAAGTTGTACTGAACTTGAGACTGCTTTAACTGTCTGTGTTAGAGATACATAAACAAGCTTAACTACTTTCTAGTAAAACCCAAGTCCCACAAAATGAAAAATACAATACTGTCATAGAAATGATTCTAAGTGTGTAATAAACAGCTGGCAGATGGTTGGGAAATCAGCTCTCCTGGGTGCCTCTCTGAAGTACCAGTACACTAAAACATGCAGTATGAAAGGAAGAACTGTGTGCAGTTACAGGGCTGCAGTGTCACTGGGATCGTGGACATGCCTATGGTTAAGGAGGACAGGCTGGGATGGCGTGGGGGGGTTGTCTTTGACGTGTCAGAGCAATGGGAATGTCTGGAGCCCTGCCTAAGAATGGGCGAAGAGCTTATGGGTCAGGATCAGAGGGCAGACTAATGGTGGCAAAGGGAAAGCCAAAGCCCACCTGGAGTTCATAGAACCATAGAACAATTCAGGTTGGAAAAGACCCTTGGGATCATTGAGTCCAACCATTGACCCTACACTACAAGTTCACCCCTAAACCATATCACCCAACACCACATCTAAGCGACACTTAAACACATCCAGGGATGGCGACTCAACCACCTCCCTAGGCAGTCTGTTCCAGCGTCTGACCACTCTTTCTGTGAGGAATTTCTTCCTAATGTCCAGCCTAAACTTGCCCTGTTGCAACTAGTTGTATCTGGTGAGGCAGGCACAGAGCAATAGGAAGGGCTTCTGTAGGTACTGGAGGACCAAGGGAAAATGTGGACCCGCTGCTGTAAAGCTTGAGGAATATGGTTACATAGGGCATGGAGAAGGCAGAGATACTCGATGATGATGTCTTCACCTTGATCTTTGCTGCTAAGTCCAGCCCACAGCAAGCCCTGACCCCAGGACACCAGAAGGACAGCCTGAAGCAAAGAAGACTTTCGGTTTAGGGAAAATTTAAACAAATTGGGCAGAGGTGCATGGGACTTGATGTGATGCACCTATGACTGTGGAGAGAGCTGGCCAGTGTCATTGTGAGGCCACACTTACTTTTAAAAGGTCGTGTTGATCAGGGGAGATTGCTGAGGGCTGTGAGATAGGAAATGTCGAAGTTGTCCTCAAAATTAGCGAGGAGGGTGAAATTCCAGGGAACTAGAGGCTGATCAGCCTTGTCTCAAGCCCTGGGAAAAGGTGATGGAGCAACTACCTGTGAAAAAACCTGTCTTCCAGACACATAAAGCACAAGGTGTTTGGGAGTGAGTTTGCAAAAGGGGTCTACATGCTTCACCAAGCTGGTAACCTTCTGTGAAGAGATGAATGGCTTGATGGATGGAGGGACAGTGGCTATTGTTTATCTTGACTTTAGTAAGGCCTTCAGCACTACCAAGACATCTTCTATGACAAACTGATAAAAGTATGGGATAAGTAAGTGGACAATGAGATGGATTTAAAACTGGCTGCACTGCTGGGCTCCAAGGGTTGTGATCAACAGCACAGAGTCCAGCCAGAGGCCAGTCCCCAGTGAGATACCCCAGGGGCCGATACTCGGTCCTGTCCTACTTAGTGACTGTGTCAGTGACTTGGATGATGGCCAGAGCACACACTTGGCAAGTTTGCAGACAGTAGAAAACAGGGAGGAGTGGCTGATGTACCGGGTGAGTGTGCTGCTGTTCAGAGGGACCTCAACAGGCAGGAAATGTCTCATGGCCTGCAGGAATCTCATCAAGTTCAGAGAAGGGAAGTAGTAAGTTCTGCACCAGGACTGGAATAATCTTGGGCAACAGTAGGTGCTGGTAACTGGGTGGAAAGCAGCTTTGGAGGGAAGGATATGGTTGCACTGTAGACGTGAAGTTGGACAAGAGCCAGCAACGTACCCTTGTGGCAGAGACGGCTGTGGGTACCCTGGGCTGTGGGTAAATATTGAGGATGGTTCTCCCCCCTCTGCTGCGTTCAGCTGAGCTTCCTGCTACAAGAAAGGTGTGCGTGTACTGGAGCAAGTCCAGCACAGCACCACAAAGATACTTAAAGGGACTTGAGGATCTGTCTTTTGAGGAGAGGCTGAGAGACCTGGAACAACTCAGCTTGGAGAAGAGAAGGTTCAGGGTGAGGGATTGGTGGTGCAAGTCTTATCATTGTGTGTAAATATCTGCTGGGCAGTGGTAAAGAGAACTTGGGCAAACTCTTCGCATTGGTGCCCGACAGAGGACAAGAGCAATGGGTACATATTTGAAACATGACATTTACAAGAACGTAAACCAATTTTTTACTGTAAGGGAGGTCAGGCACTGGCACAGGTTGTCCAGAGGAGCTGTGGGGTTTCCTTTCTTGGGGATGCTCTAAACCTGACTGAAGAGAGCACTGAGCAACCTACTCTAGTTGAGCCAGCTCTGGGTGGGTGGCTCGGTAAGACAATCTCTGGAGATGCCTTCCCACTTGAGCCATTCTGTGGTTTTGTGGTGGGCTGTGACCACCAATTCTCATGATTATGTCTTAAGCCTGTAAATTTACAGAATATTTCTTAGTTTCCTTAGCTTATTTAGCTTGTATGTTTTGTGGGTTTTTTTAATGGTTAATATACTACAAAGTCAGTTCTGTAGAAACTCTTCATCCTTTTCACACAAGGAAACCTAAAAACATTAAATACAAGTACTAAAACATTTTTACTATCTTTAGGTGGTTATAATGAGTTGCAGAATTGGTAATATATGTTCAGGCTCATCATATTTGAGATGTGTGTTTTGGCTGGCCTTTATTTCATTAGCTTTCTTAATGGATGGAATGAATATTCAGTTGGGAGATACTGAAATTTTTTTTTTTTTTTACATAGAAAGTGGAAAAATATTATGCTTTTGAGATCCCGGATGTTCCAGCAAAATCTGAGTACTTAGAAGTTAAATATTCGGTAAGTATGAATGACCATAACCTGCTTTCATAGCTAATTAAGAATTTTCTAATTTGACTTAAAAACTAAAAAATAAAAAAAATGCAAGATTTGATCTTTAGTAGCTAGTGGGCGTGCCTCTGCTGGCCGTGTGTAGTTAGTTGTGCATTGTCTTGTAATTAAAAAGAAGAAAAGAAGTGTTATCATTTGTATGTTGGTTAGTCCTTAACAAAACACATTCATTACTGGGTAACCTGTAACATACTGATTTGCTAGCATCAGCTCTATTTGTGTAAAGAAAGCATGAGGGGAAAAAAATACTTGCTACAGCTACTGCATTCCTCCCACCTTTTCCCCCAGTTATAAATCACTTATTGATTTACAACAATTAATATTCCCAGTTATCCTACCTTATTTTTTATCACCTTGCCACTGAATCACAACTAATCAGCCAAACAACTGTTTAGCTGTACTGGGTCAGGGCTCAAAGTACTGTAAGGTGTTTTAACTTACTACCCTTAAATGTTGAATCTACGTACTGAATATAGTGGTATCTCTGCTTATATGGCTCTTGCAAATTGCATCTGGTCGAGAGAGACTTTTGTTGAAGAGCTGTAAAATTGAGCAGCAAAGATGGAAAAGAATTCCCCTGAGAACATTAGTAGCTACTCTTTGTTAGTAAAAATACTTGATTTGATTTCAAATGTAGGAGACTCGGCGGTCTTGAACCTATAGGCTCAGTTGCTGGGATAATGCCTTTTTAAAACAATTTTTTTTTTACTGGTTCTAGGTGCGAAAGCAGCATGGCATAGAGATTTGCCAGCTGTCTCAGTATTTTCTCTGTGCAGAAACACTTTATGCAGTCTTTATATGACAGATAAGATTAAAGCTATAACTATCTAATTAAGTTTACACCATGAGCAGGTTTTTTATTAAAATGGTCATTGAATTCTGTTGTAGCCTTGGCTGTTAATAGTATTTCTGTCTTCTATCCAGTATGGATGAAGAACTTTTGCCTTGGTGCATTTTGATATTATTGTCCTTATTTCATTATAGTCCTATTTACGTTTAGTCAATAGTGTAATTTGTTCAGTTACTCTAGGGTATTTTGGGTTAAGACTTTGCTTGTGGGAAATTATAGTGACTTCAGGTATTGTGTAGTTTTGTTAAGGTGTTGTCTGAATATAGCGTGTCAACTTTGAAGACTTTTGTAGGGTGAAAAGACTCACAGCTTTCTGTTACTTGTTAGGCTGAATGCCCTCGGCTTCCCCAAGATCTGAAAGGACAAACATTTTCACATGTATTTGGAACGAACACCTCTAGCCTGGAACTTCTCTTGATGAGTAGGAAGATCAAAGGACCATGCTGGCTGGAAATAAAAAATCCACGTATGGTGGTTTGCATGTGCTGTACTTGGCTGCTGGAAAACACACATAGTTATAGATTGGAGGGAGAAGAGGAAATTTAAATTGTACTGACAAATGATCATTTTTTACGCTAACCTTGCAATTTATCTGTGTAATTTCTGTTATCTATTACAAATTGTGATTTATTCTTCCTTTTTCAAGTGAGAGCTCTACCCATATAAAACTGCACGCTGTACAGATGCTGTTATAACTTTGAACGACAGTGAATCTGTGCAGTGCCTAGCGGCTAGCGGCTCTTTGGTGCATACCCTAAAGCCATGTATTGCGACTTAAAGTTAGTTTCCTAAAAATTTATCCCTCTTTCTTCTCTTGATAACTTGATTTGTGTTTTTTTCTGCAGAATATCTTTTTAAGAACAAACTGCTGCTAGATGGCTTTTTTGTTTATGTGTTAGGGTATTTTTCCTGGCACTTATAAAAGTTTGTGGGGTGGAGCTTTTTTAGTTTGAAATCCTTTCTGCCTCATGAGTGGCAGATGGTTATGCTGCCTTATTTTGGCTTGGTTAGAGCCCTTTATTCGATCTGTGGCACATATTCCCAAGAGCGCAGGGAAGCTGATCATATGCAACTAAGGATACCTCTAATGCAGCCTCCTTGCGGCACTTCAAATCTAGAATTGCCCACTCTGTTTAAAACTGTCTGTTAAGCTAACTAGTTATATTTGTGCAAATTTCTGTAGTCATTGCACTGAATTTTGTACCCTGAAGCTGGGGGTTTGGGTGTGTGTTTTGGGATTCTTTTTTTTTTTTGCGGGAGGAGATGATGTGTGTGTTTGTCTAGTTTATTAGAGGGTTCTTGCTTTCCTGTGCAGCTTCCCTTCCACACTTCCCACAGAGGGTCTTGGGGATGAGGAGTATTCCTGGAGGGTTTAGAATAAGCAAGTCTCAAAACATTTGATCAGAACTCTACAACGTCTTCAAAATCTCATCACTAATCATAATGAAGCTGTCTCTGCAGTTTGAGTGTCAGTGCTTGATAGCACCAGACATTTTCTAGAGCGGCAATCTCCAAACTTGTTAGGTAGCGCACTCCTGTCACGGGGAGTATGCTCGTACCCTCAGTGTAGAGCATGTACCCTGTCAGTATATAGACAGCGATTTACAATTTATGTACATGTACTACCGTGTTAATATATTAAGTACATCAGAATATAAACACAAAGGTAGAAATAAAAAAGATATGCGAAATAAATGCTTTAAAAAGTATTAATTTTATTTATTAATGGTACAAAAAAATTTTCTTCCTTCACCCCAGTGGATTGTCTTAAGTTTCCCTTGGGGTGCATGTACACCACTTTGGAGATGACTGCTCTGTAGAATGCTAGCTGTTAAGATATTTGATATTAAAGATAAAAGGTATTAAGGAAATGATTGCCTGTGTTCCTTTGGAGAGACCATCAGTGTTTTATAAATGAAGGTATTTTAGTCAGTTACCTGCTTACATTTAGAGCAAGGATAATGAGAGAAGGTAAAATAAGTGGATTTCCAGAGAGGAGTCAAATAATTTTGCAGGGAGTAAGATAACTAGGTCTAGCAAAAGCTGTCTTCAAAAGGTTAATCCATCAGAAGTGTAACCTCTGCTTCGTACTGCATGTAGTGAATTACCTCATCAGCATCATTTATGAATGATCACTTTTTTAAAGGAAGTGAAGAATTACAGACCAAAAAATTATCAAAGCTAATAGGTGGTGAACATGTCTTTTTCTCCATCTATCTATATGATTTTTTTAGCTCTTGTACACTTTATGTCTAATAGCTTTCTGTGGTCTCCTACATTTTAGGATAGTTTATACTACCAGGGTAGGATGAACTCTCTTATGATTTACCCTGTCTCCTTATTTCCATAATCCTGTTTTTCGAGGAGTATATCTAAAGGAATTAATTGTCTGCTGCATTTCAGTCAATCATATGTTCTTGTTCTCATTCGATCAAAATTCTTTTGATTAGGACTCTGGCTGCCTTTTTTATAATGTTTGAGAAATTTCTGAGTATACTTTCACTTGTATTAGTATAACTTTTATGATGCTTTCTCCATTTGGACTTACTACAGGATTAGATGCTAAGAAGTGGTGTATTAGTTTAGGTGAGGTTATTCTCACTTGGCTTATATTCTCTGCTATGTCTCTGTATAAAGCTGCCTGAAGTATTTTTTTGCATTACACCTCTTCCTGACCTCGATACAAATCTTCCCTCCCGTCTTTGCTGTTAAGGAGCTCCTGGTGTGACCAGACTTCTGACTGGGGAGTCAGGTCCCAGGGATTTAGTGAAAACTAGGCAGGATTAGTCTGGATCCTGGACTATCCCACAAGAGAAAAACATAAAAAGAATGTGGTCTGTGCAATGATGCCGTTAAAGGACCGTTACCCGTGGTTCCCAGAAGAATTAAGGTGTTTTATGTTGTTTCCTCAGAGCCTTCAAATCAGTTGGTCAGCTGGTGTAAGGTGGAGGCTGTGGCCATGAAGCCTGGCTTGGTGAACGTCATTAAAGATCTTTCTCCTCCTCCTCCTGTCGTGGTCATGTCCCTCAGCATGAAGACCACTCAGAACCCAAAGACTCACCAGAATGAGGTAAGTAATCAACTCTCATGTTCTTCACCATATACTAAAATTTTTCTAAGGCTTGGAAGAACTTCACCTGATAGAACATGTCCAAATATATTTACAGTTGAATAAACTTTCTGTGCTGCCAGCTTTTCAAAGAAATTTTTACTGGGGTCTCACCAGCATGAGAACTGTGGGTTCACGGGGCCACCTGAACAGCTTGGTGGGAATATTTACTGTGACAGCAGATCCTACGTATTTTTTCAGGCCTTCTGTTTTGCCTCTTGTGCATAATAAGTTGTGAATGAGACTGTCCAAGAACAACTGTCAATGGAATTTTTTTTTTGTTAATGGATTTTTTTTTTTTGTAAAGCTAATCATAGGTTCTAGATAAAATTACCATGTTTTTCTGCTTGTAATACTTGTTTTGAAATAGAATAGTTTGGTCTAAGTCGTATACAACCTACTATTCTGTGGTGAGATCTGTCCTTTTCTCAGACAGAAGGAGATATGGAGGTAGCAACTCAGTTTTGGACTCTAGACCACAATGTGTAGTTAGTAAAGTTAAATTTTTTTGGGGGGAAGAGTATGGAAAATTCCTGGTTTGTAGCCAACGTAATGAGTCATACACGAGGTACTAACAGGACTCTGCTTGCCAAGATGTTTCTAAAACCTGTCTGCTGTGCCTTCTGTTGGGTTTTCCTAACCGGTGTCTGGAGAGCCAGGACATCCTGCCATGGAAGCAAGCAGAAGCATCAGTAAATCTAATAGCTATTAAATGCTGGAACTTCTTGGTAGTCTTGACTGCTCACTCAGGGGCAACCCTTCCGGAGGCAAGGCTTCTCTGTAACGCCTGCCCGGCTCACATCTCCCTGCACTTCAAAAGGAATAATTTAAAATGTGGATTCTGTTCAGATTCAGAGCAAAATTTGATGAAAGCAGGATTTTCCAAAATGGATCATTTTTCCTCTCAAATTTCTAAGGTAGTCGTTAAAGAGTTCTGCTTTATTTTACTTGAGATCAGTTGATAACTTTTCTTCTTTTTAACTGTTCATAGTTGGAATTAATGTTAAAAACATCTTTTGTAGAAACAAGAGGAAAGTGATGAGGAAGTTTTTTAAAAAAAGTAGGGAAGAAATAGGTATTGATAGTAGTCATGTTTATGAAGTTCTGTGTTTTGTGTTTCGTTGGTGTAGGTTGTGGCTATTGCAGCTCTAATTCATCAGAAATTTCCTTTGGATAAGGCTCCACCTCAGCCTCCTTTTCAGACACACTTCTGTGGTATGTACTTGGAACAGTTTATAAGCAGAAAGATAATTCCTTTGGAATTTTGCTTCTCTTGTGTTTTGGTTGTGGTGGGTTTTTTATTTGCTTGTTTGTGATGGGTTAGTTTTCTTTTTTGTTGGCATTTTTGGGGTTTTCTTAAATTTCAGTCTGTCACTCCAGCAATAATGGCTTAAAATAGGTAAGTGACAAAGTTTCATCTCCCAGGCAGGCTTTTCTCCATATTTTCAACTTCACTGGTTACTGACTTTATATTTTCAAGGCTTTACTGAAAAAAATCTTTATTTGAAATGGTGCGGGATTACTGTGCTCTACAGTTTCCTATAATTTTTATTAGTTTTACTTCATCATGTGTTCTCCTGGATTACTTTCTTCACCCATTAATTTAGACCATTTATTTACTGTCATATATTAGGAAAAATTTCTTTGCTTAAGGGATTGTTAAGTGCTGGAATAGGCTGCCTGGGGAGGTGGTGGGGTCACCATCCCTGGAGGTATTTACAAGACACGTAGATGTGGTATTTAGGGACGTGGTTTAGTGATGGACCTGACAGTGCTAGGTTAACGGTTGAACTCAATGATCTTAAAGGTCTTTTCCAACCTAGATGATTCTATATAGTTATTTTTCAGTTCAGTGCTTCTGAGCAGAATTTTAAAAAAATAAACATGTCACTTTTATTTATAGACAAGTTTTCTTAGGAAACAAAATCTCTTGTGTCAGTGCCTTTATAGTAAGATCAGCTAAACCTTGAGATTCAGACCCCAGCTGGAAGTGATGAAGAATGTTAAATGCTTGTGAGAAGTCCTTTGGAAGCCATGGCCCATAGTTTAATCTTCAGTGATAACCTCAAATATGACTGATTAAAAATATTTAATACTTTACTAATTACTCAGTTACCTTTAAGACAAGTGTTCACATAAGGCTAGCTTTTTGAATTAGAGCTTAGTTTTTCTTAACTCCTTTGTTGTGAATGGATGCTTACAGGGAGAGTGCAATTAAGAACTTGGATATAAGAACAAATATAATTTCTTTTGCAGTTGTTTCCAAACCGAATGATTGCATTTTTCCTTATGACTTCAAAGAAGCTATTAAAAAGAAGGTAATTGCATTTTGTTAGCCTTCCAATTGTACTACCTTTTAAAATACAGATTTCATGTTGCTTTGGGTAAGCGGTGTAAGAGAAATATTCAAAGGAATGGCATGATTATTTCATTAGTTTTACACTCTGTAAACCTAAGTCCAGGTATTTATTCTGTATTGCTTGTGAAAACAGAAGTGTGTGCTCTATGTGATTGAGTACTTCTGTTAGTTGTGCTTGTAAGTTAGAGTTGTGCCAATAAAAAACAAGGGAGTTAAAAAGGTTTTGTGAAGAGGCTAAAATCGTGATTCATTTTTACTGTACCTGATCAGGTGCTTCTAGTAGACTGGGAGAATTTGTTTCATCTTTTACTGGAAAGTAAAGTCTGTCAAAATTTAGAAGACATCTTTTCTAAAGGGCACTGGGAGAGCTGACAGAATAATAAAGCAACCTATTTTTGGTTTTGCTCTATTTCTGTGTGATCTTAAGCCTGCAAGTGAAGGATGCACACCGAGCATTTTCCTGGTGTGCTTGATTCTTAGGAGGCTCTTAAAATATCACTAGACACCTGCATACAAAAGCGAAATGGAAAAAAAGCCTCTGAGAAAAGCTTTCCGTGTCTATGTGAGTGAGAACAAAAAGCCTTGGATTACAGAAGGAAAGGGAGAACTCTGGTGCTTTATTATTATCTTGTAACTAGTAGGGAAGAAGAGATGTTGCCATTTTAAACTTACTGGGTCATTGAAATCAGGTGCTCTCTTGCTCCTTTTAGAATGCTAAGATAGAAATTGCTGCAACAGAGAGAACACTGCTGGGATTCTTCCTTGCGAAGATTCACAAAATTGACCCAGATGTTGTTGTGGTGAGTAGTTGTGAGACTCTGAGAGTTAAAATTGAAGCACACTGTCAATTGGTCAGCTTTGTTCCTTTTCTTTTGTCCCCTTATAGGTTTTTGATGTTTATCTTAGGCTGACTTATGAAATGAATTTGCTTATAAGACAGCAGGTATACTTTGATACAAAAATGATACAGAATTTTCCCTGATAGCATTTTATACTTCCTATTATTTCCCATAATATCTGAAATTGGCAGTATTTCCAAAGTACCTGGAACTATTTTTTTTTCTTTACTCAGAAAGACGAAACACAAGAAAAAACCCTTTGTGATTTTTTAGAAAAATGGAAACCCTTGGTGCACTAAAGATTCTGTTTCAGTTCAGATACTCATATAATTTATGTCACCATTTAGATTATGTTTATGCTGTAAATCAAACTGATAGCCTATACAGGATCTCAGCAAAGTTCTGTCACAAGCATTCTTATGTTTTCTGCAGTATTGGCAGCTGATGATTTATTGTAATTGCTCATTTTCTTGTTTTGTTGTATTGAATTAATATGCAGTCTTGACTTCCATTTAATGAAATTTTGAAGGCAATTTGAAGTTGGTTATAAATCTGAGATTGGTTATATACAACTTGTTATTCTTTTGTAGGTGAACACAAATAATTAAGTGGTGGGAACAGGATGAAACGCGCGGTTGGATTCTGGGTTTCAGCTTACTGTGGCTGGTGTCTGGTATTTGCCCTATGAGCTGAGCTTCCTGGTGGTTAGGGGCAGGAATTGGAGGAATCGCTGCAGCCAGTGCTCTTCAATTGAAGATGCCAGTAGCGGGGATGCGAGAACCCTGATCCTTAAAACAGCAGAGCTGTGTCAGTGCAGTTTAATTTGTGCCTGGTTTAATTAGCCTTGTTGAAAACTGAGCTATATGGATATAGGAGAGACTTGTCTACTGTGGCTGTAATGCTGCAGCTGATGCTGTTCTTTTCAGAAGCTTCTTCTGTAGCTCAGCATTGCACTACACTGATGTATCTGATACGGTGAACCTGCGGTTCCTGGTGACTGACTGGTCCACATAGAATCAGGGCAGCATTTTGCTTTCAGCTAAGGGTACAGACTGGTATCATGTCCTTAGCGTTGCTTAAACTTTGCAAGTATTGCTGGAGTCCTTTGGTGTGTAAAGATTGCAATGTATTCCTGCTCAGATGTAAAGCTAGGCCTCTAGTAGTATGAAAGGAAAAAAAAATACATTATTTTAATGTCAATATTGAGACTTTTATGCATAGGGAGAGAAGGTATTACTCATAGCTAAATTTGTTTGCTATATAAAGAATGTTGTTGTTTTTCTCCTAGAAAGCTTTGAGTCCTGATCTCCGGTATCAAAGCATAAAGCGGAGTCGTGTGTCCTGTGAGGCAGCTACAGAGCTGGTACTCTGCTGAGCAGCATTGTTAGTGTTAAGTCTAATGAGTACTGTTGATGAACGTTCTCTTAGAAAGTGCTTTCTATGAGAGAGATAATGCCATCAATTAGTTGGAAAAAAAACATAAAGGGCAAAGGAATACTGAGTGTGTGAAAGTAAGTCTTTCAATTTGCATTAGTTGTAACCTTTTTTTGTTATTTTTTCTGTTGCAAGGGTCATAATATTTATGGATTTGATCTGGAAGTGCTGCTTCAAAGAATTAATGTGTGCAAAGTCCCTCACTGGTCCAAGATAGGTCGACTGAGGAGGTCCAATATGCCAAAGCTTGGGGTAATAAGATTGCTCAAGTCTTTTAAGCCCCTGTGTGTTGCGTGTGATTAAAAATGAATTAATTTTGCTGAGGGATTTTAAATGTGACACTGATGTATTTTGACTGTTGGTCATGCTGAATTTCATGTGTACCAGATCAGAAATGATGGGTGTTTATATGACTTCTATTACAGTAATAAGCTAAACTAATTTTCAGGTTAGGCTCATTTAGTTTACATATCTCAACTACATGATGATAATGACAGATTAATTGCAATAGTCTTTACTGTAACAGTCTTTGTCTGCTGTAACTGTAAAATGAGAAAATGTAATTTGGATTGATTGGTGAATCATCCCATAGAGAGCAGCTAAGTTAATAATTCTGGAGTACTTGGTACTTATTTGTTCAGAGGACAATGTGTGAGGCTTGAAGTACTGAAGTGCTGAATGTGGCCTTGTCCTTGCCTTTTCCTGTCCTTCCTTGAGGCCAAGATGAGTATTTGTGTGGGGTTTGTTCTGTGACTTTTTTGTCCTGCTTTTAGCACTAAAAAGATGCTCAGAAGAAGGACAAAATCCACACTCTTGTTCTTGTTGTGACTATTCTATTTTTTAAAGAAAAAAAAAAAAGCATGATGGTTTAAGAACTAAGATCTAACTAGTAATGAGAGTTAAGTATTTACTTCTTAATATCCATGTATATTAAAAGATACCACGGACTCCTTTAGGGCATAGTTAGCTTGAATATTAGTGGTATTTAGAGTGTTAGAATATTTAGTGACCAACTGATTTGACCTGGATTTTGGATAGATGTTCTTTGTTAATGTTTGTGTGTATCATTTTGTCTGGATTTTTCTCTCCCTGTGTGGTTATGGTTAAGGGTCGAGGTGGATTTGCTGAAAGGAATGCTGCCTGCGGTCGAATGATCTGTGATGTAGAAATTTCTGCTAAAGAGTTAATTCGTTGTAAAAGTTACCATTTGTCTGAACTGGTTCATCAGATTTTGAAAACAGAGAGGGTAGCAATTCTACCAGAGGAAGTTCAAAATATGTACAGGTATGTGCTGATTCATGTTTTTAATCCTTCGCTGGAAAGTAGAGGAGCTAGTTTCCCACTATACAATTTCATGCTTGCTTATTTATTTTGTGATGGATGTGCTGATGTAGCATACTGGTATTTGAAAAGTAAAATACTATCTTAACAGTATTTTATAATATTTCAAGCTGCTCGTGGGTGGTGCCTTACTATGTGTGAAGCAAATTGAGTTGTGAGAGCGTTGGGTTAGATATCCTAATAGGGTATGCAAGCTTGAGTGTTGGGTTTGTTTCATTTGTGTTTTTTAAATTTAAAAAGCTTGCTACGTAATTCAACCTGTGTGCTACAGATACCATGTGTTCCGTACAGCACATAGGTCTAAATTACTACAGAGTACAAAGGAGGCTGATTTTATTTTACTAGGCCATCCCCCTTCTTTTCCTAGTGATTCTTCTCGCTTAATGTTCATGCTGGAAAACACCTGGACGGATTCCAGATTCATTCTCCAGATCATGTGTGAGCTGAATGTTCTGCCGCTGGCCCTTCAAATAACAAATATCTCTGGGAACGTCATGGTACATTTTTATTACTTCCCCCCCATTGGCCCACAAAAGCAGTTCCATATTTTCTGTATTTGAATTGCTCATTTTAATTTGTAAAAACTAATTGAGAATATGGGATGCTGTGAATTTTGTACTGTGACAAATGTGAGAGTTGACAACCTAGACAAGTAATAATGTAAAACTTCCATAAAAATAGCACATTTGAGTTTTGTGTTTGGTGATGATACAGAGTAATAATAATGTTAGGCAAACTTAGAAATAGTTGAAGGATGTTGCTTAGTCTATTTTTTGTATGCCAGTGTCTTCTAAGTTCTGCTTAGAATTTGTTTTTTTGCTCCTCTCTATAGTCGAGGACAATGATGGGTGGACGATCGGAACGTAATGAATTCTTGCTGCTTCATGCATTTCATGAAAAAGACTACATAGTGCCGGACAAACAAGTGTTTAAAAAGCCCCTGCAGAAGCTGGTGGGTTCTGTTTTTCTCTTTGTGAGAATTTCTGTTCAAAAGAAAAAAAACAAAACATTTTTCTATCTTTGGTGTCTTACTGTTCCGTGAAAGCATGGAAGCCCCAAACAGCCAGTTTTAGATATAACTTAATGTTACAGCTTAGGCTTAATTTTTTTGTTGTTGTTGAGTTCATAATGGGAAATGTATGGTGTAAAGGGACAGTGTAACACCTTTTCTATTGTATCAGGGACAGTATAACCCCTTTTCTGTTTTATCATACATCTATCGAAATTCCGTTGCTCCCTTACTTTAAAATTGAAATAAACTAATTACATGGCTGTGTAGGGAAGTGGTAAACAAGAAGATAGTCTGTGTTGCTTTAATAGATGTGCATTTGCCATATGATTATTCTTTTGCTGATGAAGAGTATTGCAAACATAAGGTGAGTGATTTGAGAATGTGGGTAAAATATAAAAAAAAAATCCTGTGCATCATACCAATGTAAATATTATTTATAGAAAGATCTATATGTTTGTTAGTAAACAGATTAAAATTTGAAAATGCATTTGTGTTTCACTATGTTTAGATTTAAGTAAATTCAACAGCATATTCCAAAGCAAAAGTTGTGGGTTGTATTGTTGCATTAAAGCAGTTCTAGAATTATAAATGTTTCAGAATACCATTGGACAGCTGGGAGAAAAATGCTTATTCCAGCAAAACAAATAGCAAAATACTCTTTAGGTCAATAATAACATTTTTATTTGTTTCACTAAAGCCCAGCCATTGTATTTCCAAACCCTACATTTTGCTTGGACAGTAATACTTCTGGGGCATGAGTTGTTGTTTTTTTTTCCTAATGTTGATTTTTACAACCATCCAGAAAATGCATACTTGAAGTCTTCGTAACCACTTGTTAGCAGTTTGTTCCTGTAGGAGTTGGTTTGAATGCTGCTTTGACATGTAGAGAGCTTTAATAAGGATCATGATGAAAACACTGTGTTTTGCATGTATTTTACAAGTAACTCTATGCACTAGCTCCCAGTTTCGTATTTGATTTGCCAGAAATAGCTCCTCCAACAGTGTAGACATCTTAGAGACTGGATAATGACTTTCTTAAATGCCAAATGTAGGTGGATGAAGATGAAGATTTTGAAGATCAGAATAAATCAAAGATAGGGAAAAAGAAAGCAGCATATGCTGGGGGCTTAGTCTTGGATCCCAAAGTCGGTAAGATGCAGCAATTACCTTTCTTCTATGAAGTTTGTGATGGGTAGGTTATGTTAATGCAGATAGATACCAGTGAGCGCCACCTGTGTATCTGTGGTGTTGTGGTTTTGGAGGAGGGTGTTGCGTTCAAGAAAATTCCTATTGTTGATTGTGGAATTACTTGTTATTATGACAGGGTTTTTTTCTTAGCTTCTTGCAAGAAGATTATGGTCTTGGAGGAATTAGGGCTGTGTATCTATGTGTAATTTTCTAATGGACACGGAAGTTTTCTTTCAGTTTCTCCTCTATGTGGAGAAAACTGTACAAGTGTCCTATAGTAACACAGAAGCTATCTGTTCAACTCTGGTGAGTTAATGGGGTTGGATCGTTCCACTTCTGACAGCTGTCTGCAATGGGTAGCGGGGCATCTCCATAGCTACTTGAAGGGAAGCGTGGTACAATGTATTATTGTCACTTAAATACTAACGGGGGACTTGGATTAAATCGTTTGGGAGGCTTGAGTAGTTATGATTTTTGTTTTAAACTCTGTTTTAGGTTTTTATGACAAGTTTATTTTGCTTCTCGACTTCAACAGCTTGTACCCATCAATTATCCAGGAGTTTAACATCTGCTTTACCACAGTGCAGCGACTGTCATCAGAAGCACAGAAAAGGGCAGAGGTTTGTGTGCTTTAACTTGCGACTTAAGTTACACTGCCTTAACTGTGTTTTCCGTGAAATAGCTTTTTAAGAAACTCTGCTTACTCACTGTTTAATGTTGGTTTTTTTCCTCCTCTCTGCACACTTAAAAAAAGTAATTCTTGTTTAAAGATGCTTCCATAGTAAGTTTGGGCCTGGGACTTCTTGAGTATTATGTGCCTGTCATCTTTCTTTCAGTAATACTCTTACAGAATCTAGGTAAGTTTTCTCCCATCTAAATAAAATCTTGGTATCCTCATGAAACAAGACTTTTCGTGTGGCTCTGTTGTACCTTTTCAGTCCCAGGTCCTCGGAGCAATTTCTGAACCCCTTGGCCAATTTCACCCTGACTTGGTAGAGGCTTCCTAAAGTTAGAGTTGCCACAGTATTTATGCAAATGTACCTGGATGACAGAGACGCGAGTCTTGTGCTTCTGCTTGGGGGAAAGAATGCAATATGAGCTCAGCCCTTTTTAGACATCAGGAAAACTATGTGTGTGTCTTGGGGTTGTGTGTCAGGGAGTGCTACTGTGACTGTGTCATCTGCAGGACCAGCTTCAGGGAAGCTCACGTTGTTTAATACAGTGTTAAACTGCATTAAACGCAACTGAAAAAGCTCCTGAAGGTGTAGCTCCACACACTGTTTTCTGAGCAGCTGTGTTGGCCGTGGCTTGTCCACAGCTGCTTATTCTCATTTCCTCGGCTGTGCTGGCACAGTTGGTGGAGCTATGCTGTAAACTGAAGCAGTGAGGTGCTCAGGTCTAAAAGTTAAACCTGAGGCTTTTATTTTTGACTGGTGTCAGCTCACAGGTTGAAATTAGTGTGCTGTGCGAAAGTAGTTAACTAAAATACCAGTGCCATAGCAGAAATGAGGAAAAAAGGAAAAGTAAAAAGGCACGTAGAACTCTGTCAGTAGGTTCCTCCAAACACTTTGTGGATTTACGCTGCCGCCTTAAGTGTGCTTCAGCCTGAAGCAGCTCATGTTGATTTCTGTCGCAGTGTCATTTCTTATTATGGTTCTTCTTGGGCTGCTTTACTAAACTTGCCAACTTCATAGTGTCTCTATTGCCCTTTCTTTGTGTATTTCTCTTTCTTTCAATGTACTTGAAATTTCCTTCCATTCTCACTGAGCAACTATTTTTTCAATTATGCAAACAGGAAGAATGCTTTCTGTTAGGTTGTTGTTCTGCTATAATCAGGAGTTGCTTGGGGTGGAGTTTTCATTCTGTTGTTACTGTCAATTTCCCTTTTGTCAGTTATCTTACGCAGAAGATTAGTTCCACAGACCATGTGCTCCACTTTACAGTTCTGAACACCAAAAATACTTATGTGATAATAAAAAAAGGACAGAGCTTTTCAGCATGCAAAAAATTGTGTCTGTGTGCTTTTCTTTATATCTGTCTTTACACACTTTAGAGTGAGAGTGTGTGCACTTTATTTATCTGGATTCATTTATATATATATAAAATAAATA